TAAATTTATACAAAAAAATAACTTCTTAAAGGCATAAATAATGAAGGAATAGTGAGACTTTTCTTCTTATTGGTCCAGAGAAAGTGTTTTCTTTTTTTTTTTTTTTTTTTTTTTGAGACGGAGTCTCGCTCTGTCGCCCAGGCTGGAGCGCAGTGGCGCTATCTCGGCTCACTGCAAGCTCCGCCTCCCGGGTTTACGCCATTCTCCTGCCTCAGCCTCCCGAGTAGCTGGGACTACAGGCGCCCGCCACCATCGCCCGGCTAATTTCTTTTTGTATTTTTAGTAGAGACGGGGTTTCATTGTGTTAGCCAGGATGGTCTCGATCTCCTGACCTCGTGATCCGCCCACCTTGGCCTCCCAAAGTGCTGGGATTACAGGCTTGAGCCACCGCGCCCGGCCGAAAGTGTTTTCTTTTAAAGCATATCTATTTTTTTAAAATATTTTTAAAGACAGCATCTTGCTCTATTGCCCAGGCTGGAGTGCAGTGGCACAATCTCCTGGGCTAAAATGATCCTCCTGCATCAGCCTCCCAAATAGCTGGGACTAGAGACAGCATGCTACCAGTCCCAGCTAATTTTTTTTTCTAAATTTTTGGTAGAGATGGGATCTTCCTATGTTACCCAGGGTAGTCTTAAACTCCTGGCCTCAAGTCATCCTCCTACCTCAGCCTCCCAAAGTACTGGGATTACAGGTATGAGCCACCACACCTGACCCCCATATCTATATTTTAACAATGCTGAGAATATATTGTAATTTAGGTTGCCATCGATGCTCGCTATTGTTTTACTTTATAAATTCTTTACTTTCTATATTACTATTAACCCACACAGATCTTTCCCCTTATCTCAACTTCAATTGCCCTTAAACTTTATATCACAGCATTGAACACTTATGGTTGTTTAGTTATTTCATGTATTTTAGGGTTTTTTCTCCTCAATTAGATTATGATCTTCAAGACAAAGTTGTACATGCTGGAATGTACATAATATCTCACATGTGGCACATAATCAATGCATACAAAATAAAGTATAGGAAAAAATGATAATGATTAATACATAGTTCTTACAATGGTCCAGGCACTATTCTAAGGCAATCCACATGTTCTCATTTAATCCTCAAAACAAGTATGGTTGTTGTCATTCTTCTAAGGAAGAAATGGAAGGCACAGTTGAGGAATCCACTTACTACATGGAGAGACTGAAATTCAACTCAGGCACTTTGGGCCCAGAATCTGGACTTCTAATCACTCTCCATACTAGAAACTCAATAAACATGGCTAATTGGTTGAAACTTAACCTTAGGACAGTTTTCTACTGACATTTACCCTCACATAATTTTTAATCCTTTTTAATATTTACCTAAAACTCTCAAAAAGATGTGAAAGTTTGCTGATGATATCCAGCAAAAATATCCATATTATTTCTTATATTGGTTTCAGCCCTGTGCTTGGAGTAAAGTGAAACAAAGTTTATCACATTAAGTGTGGGAAAAAGAGAACACGGCAAATAAAACTGTATCACTCATTTTACAAATTTACTAACTGCATGTCAGAATCTTTTGAAATCAATCTGTTAGCTCTAATGATATGCTGTTTGGTTGATACCTTCTTGTATAAATTTATTTATGGCTGGAAATTTAGATTCTGCTTATTGATCCTGCAAAAAAAACTATGGCATAACTAAATAATCTGGAAAACTCCATGTAAGCACAGAAAAAGTGTTCCTATGATGTTTTTGTTTTTGCTGTTTTGGGTCGTTTGGCGCTGCTCTAACTTAACATTCAGGGCAGACTGGAGATAAGGCTTCCTTCAAGAAAACATCCTGACTCCCCGTGGCACCCTTGCATTTCCACCACCATAACACTGGCCTCGTAATATTCACTTAATGAACACCTCCTGAGCACCAGTTATACATCCATCACTACTGAAAGTGTGAGGATAGAACAGTGAACAAAATGGACGATATTATTAGGATCGTTAAATGTTCATTGGTGATTTCCATAGTACTTCAATGCCAGAACAGAAGAAACATAATCTTTCCTATTGGCATCTGTCTTTCTTTGTGCTGCTGTAACAAAATACCTAAGACTGGGTAATTTATAAATAATGGAAAATTATTTCTCACAGTTCTAGGAGGCTGGGAATTTCACAGTCCAGTAACTGGCTGATGTCGTGTCTGATGAGGGCCCTGTCTTTGCTTCCAACATAGCGCCTGTTGCTGCATCCTCCAGAGGAGACAAATGCTGTGTCCTCACATGGAGGCGGGGCCAGAAGCATAAAAGGGGCCTAGCTAATTCCCTTCAGCCCTTTGAAAGGGTCATTAATCCCATTCATGAGGGCTCTGCCTTCATGACTTAATCACCTCCTAAAATCCTCACTTTTAAATACTATCACTTTGGGTCTTAGGTTCCAACATATGAATTTTGGGGGATCACGAACATTCAAATCATAGCATCATCTCAATCTCCAATGCCCAGGATTGGGTATGACACATAACAGACTCTTAATAAGTATATTTTCAATGAATGTTGTTGAATTATAAAAGCATATTAATTTAGTATATAACGCATATAAGAAAAAACTTATATCTGCAAGAAAATAATTTTCTTTAGAATTTACTTAAACTTAAATTCTTATATTGTCATAAATAAACCAGTGACCACTGAAAACACCTAAGTAATCACTTATAAGAAAAATTCAAATACTTTTTGGTGTCATATGAATTTGAATACTACATCAAAGCAAATATCTATCTATCGTTATAGTATTTAGAGAAAATGCACTTTATATCTTTCATTTTTTCCCTTTCTGAGAAATAAACCGTGCAGCAGCCAGCATACAGTTACAAAAGGATACCCAAAAAAACCAAAAACAAAAAAACAAAAAAAACAACAAAAAAAAACCCCAACCTTCTTTTGCATCCAAATTACATGTAATTGCATAAAAAGACTTTTCTGTACCCAAGTCCACACAACACCAAAAGCAGACATCAACATGGCTAATATGTAAATATGTTTGGGGAGATGGGCAGCTCATTCATCAGGTAAATTTTAGGTTGTTCCTTCCCGGGATGAAGATGAAGACTCCCAAGATGTCACTCAACCAGAGTCCTGTCGATGGTGAGAGCCAAACAGCACCCCTTTCTGGTAACCAGCATTCTACTTAACACTCAACTCACCAGTTAAGATCTTTCCTCTGGGAGTCTATTTCCCAAGGCCCCATGTGACAAAGACGGCCCAGAAACCATGTTGCGTGCATGCCAGCCGAGCACACACAAAAGCTCGCCAACGTTTTTCTCAGTTTTCACTTTAGCTCTCCTTTCTATTTTTCCCTGTTTCTCTCCTACTGTCTTGGTTTGATGGGCCCCATGTGTGAGCTACTCATGGAAATTCTTAAAACTAGAAAGAAAATGGATTATTAAGATTTATGAGGTTGAAATGATTTATTCACCTCTCAGGGAAAGAGACAATTCATCACATTTTGAAAGACTGGACAATCAAGCTCTGACTGTATTTATACAACATCATAAAGCTGTTTTCTTGAAGAACGACTGAGCCACCTGCTTAAAGATGAGACTGACATTCTGGGCAGACATTTTGAACACGGGTATTTTAGAAGCCAGTGTTTGTTTGTTTGTTTGTTTGCCACTGAAGACCTTTTCAGTGGAAAAGAAAACTCAACAGTATAATCATTTTGACTGAATGTTGCATATCTTTTAATAAATTTATGTGGAAAAATGTTTACTAAACATCTAGTATAGGTTAAGTGTTGAGCTAGATGCATCATGTTCCCTGTCAACTAGGGGCTCACAGAGGTTCACAGTTGGGTAGGGAAAGATATAAGTAAATAAATAATTATAATAAAGTGTTAATTGCTCAAAATAAAGTCAACCCCTACCTAAAACAAGAAGTTCAAAAATCTTTCTACAGGAGACCAAAAGCATGTAAGTCATGTTCATTTCTTACTGTTAGCATTAAAAGATTTTCGATATTTTATGGAAGAAAGCGGATATTGTAGGAAACCCCAAATATGAATAAAATACCTGTTTTCAGCATATAGAATAATACAAGAGGGTAAGGACAGGTATACAACACGAGACTTCAGGTTGACCTTCTCTCTTAGGCTCTTTTCAGAATTTACCAGTTATGTATACTATTCCATCTCAGCCAACTCTAATGTTGGAAAATAATCTGATAAGTGAGTCCCCCCAAAGATATTAATGGTTTGTTGTATAACACATCATTTTACTGAGGGATTTGCCCACTAATAGGCCACTCTTAAAAATGAAAGCCTTAATTCACCATTATGAATCACGGGTTTTAGAGTACTAAGCATTATATGACTTTCATCTCTGACTCTGAATGTTCTACTCTGATTTGTTCACATTAAAATATGAAAGCCTTTGTCAACTCCATTTATCTTGCACAAGATGAAACCCTGGTCCAAGCCACATACATTTAGAAACAATTCACATAGTAGATTATACTTTCTAATCTAAATTTTTGTGATACAGAATTCATAATGACAAAAACAAAATAATCACTTCACGTGAAACTAATAACATTAGAAATTGTGGTGATTGTAGGGAAATAACTCTAGTTATTTTTTTAATGCCCTGGACCCTAATTATGTTTTCTGGTCTTCCTTTTCATAAGAAAACTCAGGATCATGACAAGACAACTTTAAAAAAAAGTACTTTAATATATTCACACACCTTAACTAAGTGTAACCCGTGCATGCAGTGATGTTTCCACCTTTCACAGCAAAATCCCAGCCTAGCAGCAAGCAGATTGTCTGTGATTCATACAACTCCTGCTAGGAAAAAAATTTAATAAACCCAAGAAGAAATTAATGGGGTAAAAACTATCTTTTGATTTATAGAACAGAATGTTTCACATAACCCTGAAACTAGAAAGTGTACCAGCAGTTTTGCAGATCACCCAAGACCAGCGATTACCTGGAAACCCTCTCCTAGTAACAAGCAGAGAGAAACTTTCCACTTGCCAAAGCCTGGCCAGCTGGGATTCTGGGACCTGAGCCCAAGGGTGAGCTAGGTAGGTAAGAGTTCTTAAAACAGGAATGGGAATAAACCAAAGACAACTTCCTAGCAAAATCAGCACTGAAAAATAGTCTCCACCAAGCATCAGACCAAAGGCTTGGACAGCGAGGTGAAAAGCATACCGAAGATGTTGCGGTGGCCTCCAGACCAGAGCAGGGAAGGTATGTTGGAGAAAAAATCGGAAACTCACTGACTTGCCTCTTAAAAGAGCACTCATTGCTTCACTGGGTGGGGCAGAGAAAACAAATACAGAGTAGATTTTAAACAGAGGAAACCGGCCAGGCGCGGTGGCTCATGCCTGTAATCCCGGCACTTTGGGAGGCCGAGGAGGGCACATCACTTGAGGTCAGGAATTCAAGAGCAGCCTGACCAACATGGTGAAACCCCATCTCTCCTAATAATACAAATACAGCCAGGTGTGGTGGCACGTGCCTGTAATCCCAGCTACCCGGGAGACTGAGGCATGAGAATGCCTTATTCTCATGGGAAGCGGAGGTTGCAGTGAGCCAAGATCGTGCCATTGCACTCCAGCCTGGGCAACAGAGTGAAACTGTGTTTCAAAATAAAATAGATAAACAGGGAAACCCTTCTTAGAGCATACACTTTAAGAAAAAAAAGTTATCAAATTAAGCTAAAGGTTCACACTAGTGAGTGAAGAATAGGAAGCCAAAAGAGAGAGTGAATTATAAATTTCTCTCAATGCTGTTCACAGATTTCATTTCCCAAAGTGCCAAATTATTTTGGTTTCACTAGACTTAATCCCAAACTCAAAACTTCGCTTCATTAAAATAGCAACACCTAACATTCTCTGAGGCTATTTCAGACTGTTTTAAACCTTCAGCAAAGCCCTTTTAATAGTTTCAAACAAATTACACATCAAAACAGCTATCAAGGCTGCCCATCAACAAAACTAATTACATGACATAAATGCACCGCAAAACCTTAGCAAATCAGATGTTTATTCAAATATAAAAGCTTTTCCCCATTAAAATACTTAAAAGAATGTATGATGTGGAAATATCATATAAAATGCCCTTTTAGACTATCTTGCCTTGTTTAACACACTCATCTTTTTGGAAAAAAGCCAATTTACCTCTGGAAATTGTGTAATCATCAAAATGAATGCTTTAACAAATCTCTTTGTTTCCTTCCTACCACCCCATGCATGTTGTAACGTAGATTTCTGATTTTGTAAACTGGAGCTGATTTTTTTTGGTTTTTTTAAACCATGAATATCTGTTTGGCATCATCCAAGTGAGTATCCGCCCTGCTGGAGAGCCTTCCGCTCTAATCCCAGCACTTCAGTTTGATGGAAGAGCCTTTAAGCCTTCCCACGTCAGAATGCGTTCTGATGTCTGACTTGTTCTTATCGTGATGAAGACCATAGTCTTACTTATTCTAGAAAAGTATTTGGATACATGCTAACAAACCTACAGTAAAAATCAGGAAGAAAACTTATAGCCTATGTTACTGGACTATTTTCTACATAAGAATTAGATAAACTCTAAAATATCACTAAGTTCACTGTCACTAACACTGATGCAGGATTTTTCTTCTTGGTCATTTTGCAAGCCGGGGACCCCCAGCCAGTGACACTCCACCCAGGTCTCCCTCAGCCACGCTGGCATGGCCCAGATCCCCTGAGTTATAGCTTGTACCTGCATCCGGTGGTTCCCGAGCTCTGGTACTGCACCCAAGAAGAATAAGGATACTCTGGACATTGAAGGGTAAGGAGGGTGGAGAAGAGTTTTATTGAGCCATGAAAATGGCTTTCCTTGGAGAGGGGATGCATGGTTGGTCTCCCTACCAAGAGGTGGGAAATTTCCCCTGAGTGGCTGGGTCTGGGGCCTTTTATGGACTCAGAATGGGGAGTGCATGCTGATTGGTTTGTTAGCATGTAAGAAAGGTTAAAGCAAAGACACCACTCAAAGGTGGGCATGACAGTGTAGAAAACCAATTAGGAAAGTGTAGGTATATGTAAAATAGGTGAAGGGTGAGATCCAATCAGAGGAAAGCTTGCCAAACAGGAAGACAAGGTCTCAATCTGGTGGGAGGGTTTAACTTGTAGCTTGGCTTTCAGACTTTAAACTATATTTAGCTTGGAGGTGGGGTTTCACCAGGGAACCACCCCCATATACCGAGGCATTTGTTGGCACGAGATGGCTGCCTCTTGTCGCTATCAACACTAATAGATCATCCTTCACTAGTGATTGTACTGTCATAAATATCAAATACATTTAAAAGGCATGTTTTCCACTATGAAAGTAACACTAAAGAAGAAAACAAAATTTTATTATGGTTTGATATAGTGACACTTTTAACAGTGACTAACTCTTACATGGAAATTTTAGGGGTTAGGCACTTTCCCTCCAATCTACAAGTTTTTCTTCAATGTAACTTGCCTTGAGATGTGATCATAAATTATTGATACCCTATTTAGTTACCAGGCTCAGTATTTACTGATATTCAATACATACTAATTTATAATGGTTTTTTTTCTCTTCAGTATGTACTAATGTCTAATACTTTTATTCATCCTTTATTATTCACTTGAAAATAATGATTACAAATAAGCTATATATCCTTCACAGCTTGAAACTCATAAAAAAACAATTTTGGTGGAAAACCTGCTGGTTTCTAAAAATATAGTGAAAGGCTTTAAAATTTAGTGTGTGTGTGTGTGTTTTCAGCCTGCGTGTTGACTTGTGGAGTTGTTTACTCTGAAGGCTACAATCATTTAATTATTTGTTTATACCAGTATGGAAGCTTCTCACTATGGTGTTTTAATTTATGGCCTCAATCTGTACTAAAGATTTGTTAGATAACCTCACCCCTCCTATTCAGTTACGCCTGATAAAAACTTTAAATAATCTGATAGGGAAAGGCAACACTATCCATGTTAACACTTCACATTTTAGAGCCAGCTTTCATATCTCAGAAATCATAAAGCAAAGATGTTGATTAGCTCGAAACATTTCAGAAATCCCCCAAAATTTGCAACTTTTCTGCTTGGCAAACTGAGCCAGGAAAATCTTCAAAAAATCAATTGGACTGTGAAGGGTTAATCTGACCAAGAATAAACAGACCACTTCTGGTGAAACTGTAGGGAACTATTTTCAACTGTAACAGAAGGAAAATAACTGAGTTTCATGAGCAAATTGGAACTGGCACGAGATTTCAAAGCCATCCCATTTAGTAGTGCTTATACCAACACAGTACAGCATTACAATGCTTTAGAATTGAACATCGAAAAACCAATATAATTATCTCTACCATTCTCTAAGGTAGTGACTAAGTAAAGTCAGAAACATTCTTAAAGTCAAAATAAATATAAGTGTGTTTCCACTTTCAAAATAGTCATACCTCTGGTTGGAAATCATCCCAACCCAGCTCTATCTGACACATACTAAGACTGGACCACCTCGAGGCTTCCTGTAGGCTACAATTGTCCTGTCTTATTAACTTTAAGATCAGCTATGAATTCCAAAACATTTATGTATCTTCTATATAGTGCAAGTCCTTTATGAAAAAATCCCCTTTTTCAATCCATTGCAGGAACCAAGGGTGGCTAATATCAGAAGAAAATCGTGCGATGGGAATGAAGATCAGAAGCACATACTGACCAGTCAACTGACTTTGCTGATCCCTTGAAAAATAATGTCACGGGGGATGTTTCTATATTAAAGAAGAATTATTTTGCGTTTCTTTTCATTCACTGTTGTGTTTCTTCCTGCAATATCTCTGGAGGCATGTGAAATCAGTGGGAGTAGAGTAATAGGATATTTAACACAGATAGCTGTGGAGTAAGACAGTCTAGGTTTAAATCCTGGCTATGAGAATGGAGAAAGGGCACAGAAAGTTCTTTGCATCATGGCTGGCACACAGTCTGTTTTTAAAAAATGATATTATTATTACTACAAATAGCGCTTCACACAGATGTTGATTGAATAGACAGACAGATGCTTGTTTCAAATAAAAGAAAACAGTTCCTGTAGGCAAACAACTCAATTGGCATAGACATAAGTCTCTTGTTCAACCTGTTTGCCATTATTTATCTGCCTGAGAAGACTATGAAATGTTGAACCAGAAAATATCCAGAAAAACAACAGCCCAGAAGGTCAGTGCAAAAGAACTGGGATAATCAGAAAAGCTAGTTATTCTAGTTCTGGCTTTAATTTGCTCAAATTTTCAATCCACATAGTGTTTTGAAAAGTCAGCCTATAAAAATCCTTCAATCCTGGGAGTTTCCTTCCTAGCCTCTGAAGGCATTCAGAACATGTCACCCAAAATATGGCATATTGATTATTTTGAGCTAAAAGAAATTAAGAGCAAGCTAACACAAGGAAACTTTACCTCCTCATCAACTGCCTGAAAAGGATATAAATTTCCCCTTTCATATAGGAAATTTACATTTATAAGGAAAATTTACATTAGTAACTAGTTATCTGTACCAGGAAGAGAGCTACTCTGAGAAAATTTGCCACTTGAGAGACTTAACTACATAACAAGACAAGCTTCATTCACTATGCATTTCCTCTACCCCTTACTTTCCCATAATTTACCTCCACCACCACAAAGAAACACCAAACCCTTACTCCACTTCTTTGAGTCTCATATTTTTGTGGGACTCCCATGTGTATGTATATAATTAAAATGGTTTTGCTCCTGTTCATCTGTCTGATGTCAATTTAATTCATAGACCAGCCAAAGAACCTAGAAGGATAGAAGGAAGCAATTTTTCCCATCCTGTATCTCTTAGTGTTAGAGATTTAAAGATCTCCATCTTAAAATCTATTGGGCTGTTAAATAAAAGTTACAGGAGTCCATTGATGCGGGTGGAGCTCCTGCACCAGGCCTAACAGAGTAAATCAAAATGGAGTCACTCATGCTGAAATTCCACACCAACAAGCTGAAACTAAGTTGTTTTCCTTCTGAGAAATCAGGAGAGAGAGAGGTAATAGCCAAATCCCCAAACAGGCCAGGTTATCTTGAACATGATAAGAAAGTCTCCTCTGCTTTAACCTTTACAAGGAAAGTAACTTTGAAATGACCAATCCGCTTTTTCTCTGTTGCTGCTTTCCTCGGCCTCTCTCTGTCTAAAACTCAGCCTCCTCTGCTCAGGTTATCAGACCATTTATTCTATTTTATAAGTTGAGATGTTGCCCAATTTAGAAACACAACTAAAAGCTAATTAAGATCTTTAAACTAAATTCGTTGTAATTTTGGCTTTTGACAGGGCTAATAATAATGATATATGTCTCATTTTCATTTCAAAGCACTTGTGAGTAGGAATTATTCTACTTCATTGATAAAGAAATTGAGAGTCAGAAAGTTTTGGTAATTTATCCAAAGTACACACCTACCAAGTGGTAGAGCCAGGACTCAATTCCAGGTCTTAGATTGTGCTTTCAGAGTAACTTGACCATTGCTTCAACAACAACAAAAATTGTATGGAATACCTACTATATTGTCAGACCCTGTTTGTTTCTAGAAATACAACTGTCAATGCTGCCCTCAAACTGTTTATCATCTAATACAAAAGACAGACAAACACACACACACTGTGAAAACTGTGGATTCCTGGGACCCATCCCAGATGCAATAGATCTTGGTTAGGTGCCAGCAGTCTGCACTTTTAGCGAATCTTCCCAGGGTAATTCTCTGAGACAGCACCTGGAGAAGGATTATAATGGAGTCAGGTTTAGGAACAGAAAGGAAGGTGTCCTGGGAAGATGATTCCTAAATTGAGATTTGAAGAATCAATGGGAGTTGGCTAAGCAGAGTGACAATGATGAGAGAACAATTTAGATAGAAAAACAGCATCAGTCAAACTTTTGAGAGATGAAACTCACTTGGAAAAATAGCAGTTTAGTGTAACTAAACTAAAAGGAGGTAGAGGGGAAAAGATTTAGAGGAAATGACTATAGAGGTAGACAGGGCCTAGATTCCTAGAAGCAAACAGAAAGCCAGGGCAGCTGGAGGCAGGCTATGAGCACAGGAACAAAGGGGCCCAACCATGGGTTGCTGCCTCCCATACTCCTTGGAACCTCAGGTTGTGCTATACAGACACTTGCGTAAGTTTATTCCTGAATAATCAGATTTCCCTTGAAATGGCCTGATTCCATTAAAATGTGTCTCTAAGGAGCATTTGAGCCAAGCCAGTAGCAGGCTTCAACACACAAAACACATATTTTACTATGAAATGGTGAATCTTCAAATTACATTTAAGTCAATACAAGTTACAAAGCTAATCAAAGTGCAGCAAAGACGAACCCCAGTTAGTAGCCTTTAATCTTCTGCTCTTTGCCTTTCCAAATCTGAAGTTCTTTCCCCTTAGGCAAACTGAACAAATGTAAAATCATTATGCCAATGACCTTGTCCTGCTTAGAGCCTTCCTTAATCTAAACATTTTCAATATTCCCTGGGCTCCATGGATTAAGAACACACCTCTTTAACACGCACTTTCTCCACTTCATTCATGGGGAACAACGTTTATTCTCCGGAGTCTTTTTGTCTTTTTGAAGAAAGTGCTAGAACAGAATGGATGTATTGAGATGGATAGGAAAAATGACACAAAAACATGCAAACTTGTTTAGTGGCAAGGTTATTGATTGTTAGGGAAAGAAAAGAAGGCCGACCTTGTGAGTCAGGAAGATGGAGAGGCTCATTTTTAGCTGTCCGAGGCAAAGAAGCAGTGGGGTTTATCTGCAGCCAAAGTTAGACCTCTCTGTCAGCCAGCTGGGGGTATTCCAACATGAAGGGCTAACACAAGAGATTCCATTAAGCAGACGAAATTACCCGGTGGCCGGCTGCTCCTGCATCTCGCATTATTTTCATGTGAACAGTTCTTTTTTCGCTTGCGAGACTTTCCCATTTACTGCAAAATGTTTGTCATTTCTACACCAATGCCAAAAGTGGCCACCAGTCATTATGACAATCCAAAATAACTCACACATTTCCAAACTGTCCCTAATGGAGATGCTAGTACCCCAACCCCACCTTGAGAACCACTGAATAGAATCTTAAATTCCTGGCAGGGACCAATAAGCTCATCAAGTCCCACTTCCCCATTTTGTAGTAAAGTGAAATCCATTCTAAACTTTATTAAGTAGGGACTGGCCTAGAACACAGCTTTCATGACTCTCATGCAAACACTTATTCTCCAAACCTTGAGGCTGCCAAATTCTAAAAAACTTCACTGCCTTCCTACTGAAATCTCTCATGTACATCATCTGAAAACTCTCTATTGAACAAGTAAACGCAAATTTCTGGCAACTTCTCCCTTTGGCAATGTATGCTGTAATACCTTTTTCTCAAACTTAAAGTACTGGCTAGTACTGAGGCCAACAGGATAAAACTAGGCTTACATCTGGCAAAAAACCCAGGCATCTTCAGATGGACTGTGTGGGCAAGACTAATGAAAAAAGAAAATAAATGATTTACCCTCATGAAACCAGAATACCAAGCATAAAACAAGAACTTAAATACTTCCACAGAGATGAAAAAACAAATTTCTTCAAAGGAATAATAAGCAAATTGGCATCATAATTCTTGTCAAAAACACTGGATTACAGTATCAGCGGTGCCAGTAAACCTTATTACCCAAAAGGTAAAGAAACAACATCTTCCATATTTTGAGGAAAACACATAAAACTAGAATTCTTTTTCACTCAAAGGAGAAGATAAAATATTTTTTTTTTTTTTTTTTTTTTTTTTTTTTTTTTTGAGAAGGAGTCTCACTCTGTCACCCAGGCTGGAGTGCAGTGGCGGGATCTCAGTTCACTGCAACCTTTGCCTTCCGGGTTCAAGCAATTCCCGTCCTTCAGCCTCCCAAGTAGCTGAGATTACAGGCGTGTGCCACCATGCTGGGGTAATTTTTTTGTTTTTTGTTTGTTTGTTTTTTGAGATGGAGTCTCGCACTGTCACGCAGGCTGGACTGCAGTGGTGTGATCTCGGCTCACTGCAAGCTCCACCTCCCGGTTCAGTCCTTTCTCCAGCCTCAGCCTCCCCAATAGCTGGGACTACAGGTGCCCACCACCACGCCTGGCTCATTTTCTGTATTTTTAGTAGAGATGGGTTTTCACCATGTTAGCCAGGATGGTCTCGACCTCCTGACCTTATGATCCACCCACCTCGGCCTCCCAAAGTGCTAGGATTACAGGTGTGAGCCACTGCGCCCTGCCTAAATAAAAATTTTTTATACATGCAATAAACAAGTTTACCTAACATATGACCCCGACAAATTTATGTGTTCCACCAAAAAAATTAAAAGCTCAAGACAGACATTAGTTTCATAATGTAATGCAACTAACCAAAGAGTCCAAAAAGAGCATTCTAAATCCTGAGATGCCAGCCATGCAACCCATCTAGGAATCCACTGTCCTAGTGCATCATGCACCTTGGAAGGCTCAGTGAGGGGAGGCCACTTATGGGATGGGGCGGGGGAAAGAGCAGCCCTAGGGCTTTGGGATCTCTTTCACAAAGGACTTCACATTTAACTTCAAAGCAGGTTATGCCCACAGTCAGAGATCCACCCAAATGGTTGAACTCTTGAGATTTTTAATCATTTGAGCTTCCTTCATAGAAACCCCAAGTAACAGCGGTGCCTTCAATAACATAAGGGTTTCTCTTTTTTTAATAAAACAAAACAATCCTAAGGTTGGTCATTC